ATACAGTTTTGTTCTATCCTACATCTCTATAATAATCATTTGGTAATGGAGCCTTTTAGCAATAAACTTAGGGAATATATATGGTGAGAATTATTAAAATGTTGTGACTTCAAGCTAAAAGAACCTTATTGACAAGCTTTTATGGAGAAAATTCTTCTTTGAGCTACAAAAATACTAGTAACACATGTTCAATAGAGAGCTACCATTTTTCAAATGGGTTAAATATTAGTGAAGCAAAATTCCTAAAATTATGCATCTGCGTATCCTGAATATTAAAAAAAGCCAAATGCATTTAAATGGTCAATATTGTCAATAACTAATAACTTTTTTTCCAAATGGCAGGCATTTTGATAGTTATCATTAGTCCCTTAGCTGACTTCGGGCTTCACAGAAGAGAGGAACATTAAAGTGAGAAAAATTCGACAGGGGAAAAGAAGATCAATTCACAGATTTAAAAGAGACAAACAGACACAAGGGCAGAGAAAAGGTGAGATGGGAACTGTGAAAGGGGTCGAATATGACACAGTGGGGTTAAGGTAGTTTGAAGTCAGAAGTCAACTGCCAGTTAATAGACATTTTTGCCGTACGAGTATACGTTGCCCAGGATGCACCACATGGAGGTAAACTGCCCTCTTTTGAGAAATCAAACTGACAAAATGAAAATCTGGACAAGTCAAACATTAAACAGTTCATGTCGCAAAAGTATATTTCAAATAAAATAACACTCTTATGATGGTCTACATCTTCCCAAGGTCACTTTTATCAGAGTGGAAATGCTTACTCGACATAAAAAGTGCAATTATACTTGTTCTCGATACTGTTAGTGCCTTAAATTGATTAATTAAAGGGGAGACATTTTCATCCTCGCCACGAATATTTTCAGAAGATTCTATGACAAGTCATCGGAGTGCAGTGTTGAAAAAGTAAAACTGTCAAATCCCACGAACAAAAATAGCCTCAATTTCCTTCCCAAATCGTGACCATTTAGCTAGGCATCCGATTATCTAAAGAGAGTTTTCTTTTGAACTTATTTCATTTTTGAAAGTTTTTCTTTAGTTTCAATAAATAAACAGGCATATTGAAAGTTATGTCCCAAGGGATTCCAAGAAATTAACTTTCAGACTAGGCGGCGCTAAATCACTGACAAAAGGGACACATTTGTGAGACGTCTAATGCAGAAAAACAAAAAAACTTCTTGCAGCATATGCATTCTTGCATATTTAAGGTAAACATTGAATTATAAATTAAAAAGAAAAAAAAATATTTATTTGCTAAATAGAATAATTTAGTGTGGGTAGATCTAAAAATTTATTTATTTATTTCAAATGGCAGGCATTATGATAGGTATCATTAGCCCTTTAGTTGACTTCGGGCTACACAGAGGGGAGGAGGAACATCCAACTGATAAAAGGTCGAGAGGGGGAAGAATAATGATTCACAGACGTAAAAGAGACAGACGGACACAAAGGTAGAGAAAAAGGTGAGGTGAATACTGTGGAATTATTCGAATATGAAATTCAATAGGGTCATGGTAGTTTGAAGTCCGAAGTCAACTGCCGATTTATAGACTTTTTTGCCGTATGAGTATACGTTGCCCAGGGTGCACAACGTGGAGGTAAGTCTATCGTATTTTATAGGGAGATTTCTGTGAGCTTCGTTTTTTGCCTCATTTCGTAAGGGATTGCCATATTGGGTTTAATTCCTTATAAGAAATAATAATGAAAGTAATTGCATGACCAATTTTGCCTTTACACGTTTATTTTACTATACGGTGGACACACTTTTATGTTTTTCAAAGATTCTTGGTTTGACAATGGGACTACCATTCGCTTAATTTGCAATCCTTTCTAGTGACTAATACAGATTAAATGAGCAATTGTGAAGGTAATTATAACCACGTTAACGTTAATACTCTGACTCTGTTGCGGATTAGTACACTAACGAGCCTTAACTATACTTAGTGATCTCTATGGCAGATCCTCCTAAGTTTGATAAGGCTCTCAAAATGAACTAAGCTATCGTACAGCTATAGAGGAAACAGACTTATGAGGTGGAATACGTTTATTGGGTATGGCGGGTTACAGTTAGTGGGTATTAAGGCAAGGTAATTCTTTGGCACACGCTTAATTGACAGGACGCGTTACAGCACGGTCACGACATGGTTATGCGCTGATCTGGAACCTAATCATTATATGTACTTTCTGGCATGCCGTTGTCCATTAATTGATCATCATGGATTTTCGGCTGTTGATTGGTCATGCTATAGCTGTGTTCCCTATAACTCAAAACTATTTCAGCCTCTGATGTCATTTAATCTCATCAAGAATCTAAAATTTGTAGGAAATAATAAAAGTTATTCCTCTCTTCACAAACTTCGTTCTTTACTCTCGTGACATACCATCTAAAGAAGATCCAATTTATGCCTGAGTACATTTTTCCCTAAGGTCGAATTTCCAAAGAAGCTAAAATGGAGTTAAATAATTTTAATTTATTCCTCAAAGGGAGGTTCGTATTTTATCCCAATTGTCTATCTCAAATGGTTTGTTTATTTGCCACTCAATGGAATGGAAAAGCATTCTCTATTCAAACTCAAGAATGCTATAGTTTAAGGGTTTTGCATCAGACTTTGTTTCGCTTGTGATTTAATATTTTAGAAATTTTAAAATATTGTTCAAAATATATGAAATTAAGGTTCAATTTTTTTTCAATTTCCGTTTTTCCAAAAGAATTTTTTTGTAAATTGTGTGAAATTCGACGTGAAACAGTATAATGGAAAAATAAAAGACGGAAACCTTCAGGCGATTGATCTACGCAAAAGTAGGCCATTATCACCTTGGCGTAATCGGTTCATCGTAATATTGATCTTTAATTTATACTAATAGTCATTTAAATTCAAATTAAAACTAATTTTGCTTAAATGAATACAGTTTGAATTATTATATTCATACTCGGTTTTAGCAGAGAATTGTATGCTTAACTCAAACATGGTAAGCTTTGATAATTTTACTAAATCAAATTATCCGCCTCAATATCATTCGTCCATTTTGATACTCGACTAGGTGCAAGATCAACTTAATTTTCCATATTCCATTTCTGCTTTTCCAACTGTGATTGTGCAGAAGATATGCGAACACCTTACATTACCCGATTTGATAAAGGTTTGCACTGCAATTCCAGAATGGCAATGCTCGTTATCATCTTCTCTTTTCCTTAATTCTAAAATCTCAGTTGCCACAACGTCTCACCTCCGCGCTCATCGGTCGAATGGAATGTCAAATTCCAAATCAACTTCTTATCCATACTCCTGGCCACCAAAGGCTATTCTTGACTATCAGAATAAAGTAACATTGGTACAAAATAGCACACTTTTGCGTACAAATGGGAAAATAAACTTTTCTATTGAACCGAGTTTTGCTAATTCACTTAAAGACTTCCGTTTGATATCCTCGTTTTATAAAGCCTGCGATAAAATACTCAGCGGAACTTATTTTCCGGAAAGATTTAACCTATCGACAAATCACCAAATCACAGAAATCTATTGCGTAGATACAATAAATAGAAATCTATTTTATAAGAATCTGCATGTTGTCATACATGTAGTTCTGGATTTCAAAAGAATCGGCCTTACCCTCCGACATTTACTATCTACGCTAAAGCCGTGCCAAACCCTTCTAATTGTTTTTATTGGAGATGATAAGTTCCTGAATGGGGGAAATTTTAACAAGCATGTTCGGCCTTTATTTTGTGGCCTTGAAAATGGATTGCTGGTGGACTCGACACAGCACGTTTCCTGGAGAATTTGGATTTTGGATAGTGACTTCACAAATCTGAAAGATATGTTAGAGTGGGCTTTCTGTGAAAGCATTAACAAATAACTTGTGCAAATACGCTAATTGTGTAATAAACGCTTTTCCTTCCCGTTTTGACACTTACTGACAATCTTAAAATTTTATTTCGATAAATAAATGAAGAAATGCAACTGCTTTGTGGATAATCATTTGTATTAGCTTGCCAAGTAAAAGCTTTTAACGTAAAGACGTGGTGCGAAAAATGTCTTGTAAATTAGGACATATTTCAATGATTGCAAATGCTAAGCTATTTATGCGATGAATAATTGTCCGTGAATAATCAAGGGAAATGAGATGAACTCGACCGCACGTCCTTCAGTTGTCACTTTTTGTTGCTGGGACTTATTGGTGCCAACTTTGGTGTTTGTAAACTCGATCTTACTTTGAGACATTCCCCCTGGAAACGCATTAGCGTAGTCTCCCAAATTGATAGACCACTCCTGTCGCAGTTATGTTCAGCTGACCAAATTCCAACTACTGATCTCTCAGTTAAAACTATAACAGCTTGATTCTTTATCTCTGTTTATTTGAATGCTTTTGTGAGTTGTTCACTTTGAACCGCATCTAATATTACCTAGAGGTCACTGACGGTATACCAGTGAAAATCAAGACTTATAATGCTTATTTCGCTTGCTCAAGTACTTGTTAACGGCAGTCCTATTCATTCATTACCCTGGGGATATCTCGGCCTAACAACCTCTCCCCCTTCCAATGCATAAACAGTAAGTTTAGGCTCGAACACAACTGTCTACTTAAAAAAATTCAGTAAATAAGCCTGACAACTTATCACCCGAACTATTAATGTTGCACTGTATTAGTATCGTAACTGAAAAAGAGCAAGGGAGAGAGTTGACGAGAGAGGAGAATAGGCGGGGGAGGAGGGGGGTACATTTCGCAGAAAAAGCAATGATACAGAAGAGAGATTTAGTCAAGACCATGATTACACACTAAGGGCAGGTACACAGAAGGTTGCAAATTAAAAGCATCGCATGCAAGAGAGAGAAGTGAACGGAGTGAGGATCACTTGTAGCGCACAGATGACAACTGCATAGAGGGATGTATTAAACCAACTAATAATGGCAGAGAGGCAAGGAAGGATGAAAAGTGAGGGTCAAATTCTGGGATTTAGAAAAATGCCACTGAATGACCAGTCTAACTGGTAAGCTCACGACGAACTATCCACTGATCCAATGAATTGGAAGAGGAAGATTCAGCTGTTGTTGAGGATGAGAGTTTTGCCGGCTCTGTAATGTTCGAAGGTTTGACCATTCGTGTTTGTGGAGGTCGAATAGATGACCTAGCGGGAGAAGGCAACGTACTTGAAAATCCAGGTGGTTTTAGGCCTGAATTGGGAGGTTTGGTGACTGATGAGGATTGTGGTAGTGAGGAAGGAACTGAACGTGCGTTAGTTACTCCGGGTCTAGGTCGATTAATTACTGGTTGAGAAGACGGAGCCGTTATAGATTTTGCCGATGGAGCTGTAATTGTACGTTGAACTGGAGAGGGAGTATTCATTCCGGGCCTCCGGACTGTAAGAATCGAAATAATCACATTAAAATCTCAACGACGCTAAGATTAACAGTAAGGTAAAAAGAAGCTAACCCGTAGACGATGGAATCTTCCGTCCACCACGAATAGCTTTCCCTTCCTCCATTTGGCGCTGTTTTTCTTGATCATTCACTAGAGCCTCGCACCCAGCTCCCGTTCGAATGACCTGTAAATAAAGTAATGATCAGTCAACACTGATGCTAGGAATATTTTTTGTGTTAAACCTGCTATAAAGCTAGGAATCAATCGATATACCGTTCGATGACTAGAAATAACACAATTTCAGCTGTTTGGACTAGAAAAAATGGTAAGGTAAGGGTGGTCAATGTCAGTCAATCTGGACGCACTTAACTCATACTGTCTCACGATAAATTGAAATGATTATTTTAATGAAATATACCGAATACTTTATAAGGTCTCCATATTCTGCCTAATTTAAAAATGCTGGCTAAAATGATTAATATCTAGAGAACACTATTGTAAATAGTTGCCCTGAGATTAAGAAAACGGAACAATTACTTAACCTCTGGCCTCTCCAAAACTATTATTACTCCTTCTTTGTGTGCGAACAAAACAAGAAACGGACAATATATGTACGAATATGTACCAAGTTGACTCAGCTGCTTTCGAATCTATGGATTTTGTCAGAAACTGGAGCATTCTTAGTTAATATCAAAAAATATTTCACTTTACCTTCTTTGCTCCCGCTACCGAAGCTATTACAGTCGGTGTGGTTGTAGTTATAACAGAGGTAAGGGGAGATTTGAGTGCGCTCCGAGGAACTGGCGTTTTCGCAGGTTGAGTGGTAGAAACACCCCTTTGCAGTTGTCCAGTTGTGACTGGACTGCGAGCAGTGGTCGGTGTTGCTCGTGTAGATACAGTGCCAAAGCGACGTGATGAAGTGAGGTCGATTTTGTTACCCGCTTGATTGGCTGGACACTTGGCATTAGACGCTGTTAATGAGCGAGGTGGATCAGTTGAAGGCTTACGTATCGATGCAGACGGATTTGCTAGACGTGGAAGAGAAGTCGATGAAACGCCTCCACCAGGGGATCGAAGCTTTGAGAGCTGGAGGTAATAAATATTCAATTAATAATATAAAACTTTTATTAATCTAAATGGTGCCATGAAAACGAGATAAACACCAATATTAATCGTTTGCCTTATAGGAAAAGTTGACTAACCCGAGGTAAGCCACTACTAGTCAAAGATGGTGAAGGATTTGCTGACTGGGCTCTAACACCAGGAGACGTTGACGCAGAAGAAGACGGAGAAGTTGATGCAGTTGTTGACCTTGACCTCATCGGCAGTCCAGTGGTTGTGTGTTTGCGAAGACCCGAGGATGGAGGTCTCAACAGACCCGGGCCAGGACTTGCAATCTGGCGAATACCATTGCTAGGAGGCTTAATACTCAATGGAGTAGTAAGATCTTTCTTTGCAGTCATTGAAATTTTACTATTCTCGGATATGAGAGATAAGTCTGATCGATTCATAACTGCGTCAAGATCCAATAAATGATCATCGCTGCTTTCCTCCTGAAGGTACAAATGTTTGTTACTTAAATTAATTCAGTAAAATTGGTTTGTGGATTGTAGGATCGGAATACATACGCTCTTATCAGTGTCACCTCGTGATGGCGGTGGTGGTGTTGAAGGGGGTGATGGTCTCCAGGGTGGACTGCTGTCACCAACCAATGTCACAGAATCATCATCTGCATCGAAGCTGCCAGAGGGTGGTGGAAGAAGGAAGCATTCATCATCCGTTGCCTTTTTGACCGTTTCGAATGGTTTCAGAACTGAAAATATGCCATGTTGGTAAAATAATAAGTAACAGAAAGTCCTAAAGTATGCATCTACCGTGATTAAAGAAATAATAACAGCAGAAGTAAACTCTGTGAAGCAATAACGCGAAAAAGCGTAAAGATCATTCGTCAATAGTCAGAATATTATTTCCATACTTTGGCTGCTTGAAACAAAGGAAAACATTGTTATAAATCTTATGGCCTTGTCATATAGGGTACCAAACACAATTCCCCAATCAGAGTAGATAAACACACCTCATTCCTAGCGGTCTAAAATCGATATTTTTATAATTTAACGCTTCCTTTAATTTCCATATTTATATGCCATCCCATGTCATAGTACTTCATGAAGTACTTTCATGCAGACTACTTTCAACTTTTTTTTGTTCGAGCTAATATAACGACTCAGATGTATTCCAGGATTGCTTTCCACATTGTCTGTGATGTAATAATGGGGATATTTTCTCCATGCTGCGTTAATAAGCCCTAAGTCTAAGCTTTTCTCTCCATAAATTTAATTTAAAATTCGTAAGATTTTGAATTACAACATACCAGCTGTAGGTGTATGGGATGTAGCGGAAGCCGAAGTGGACGACTTAGTGTTGTTTGGTGAAGCGTTGCCAGACATTGGGAGAGGAGCCTTTAGAGCTCGCCCCACTCCGTTGTCTAGACCGGAGACTGTTCGGGGTGACCTCAATACCCCCGATGATGAAATCCCCGTTTTTCGAGGCTGGAGTAGACGGTTGGTGACTGACGATGTCTGGTTGTCCGGCGCTCTGCTGATGGGTGGTGGTTGATCGTCTGCAGTGCCGGAACCATGAGCTAAAAAATGTCTTGCTCTTCGAAGCCTTGTCGTGTTTGGTGTTGTCAATTGTTGCTCCCTTGGTTGGGTGATGTTCTGTGGAGTTCTAAGCTGATATTGATTATCCTGTTTCTGGCGTATATTCGGAGTGATTTCTGAGACAGCTAGTGGGGAAGGCGATTGAGAAGAGTGTGGTGAAACCGGTGTTGTAATTGGTGCTGTTGCAGATGGTGGAGGAAGTGAAAAATCAACTGGCTGTTGAACTGGATTCATGCGCTTGGCACTACCAGCAATCCCCCGAGAGGAAGATGAAATGGGTAGTTTTGGAGTGGGCATTGCAGAAGAGATACATTCTTGTAAAAGACTGGTCTCCATACCGACAGATTCAATACTCAACAAAGATGAGAAGGAGGAATTATCCGCATCACTTCCTCCGCTACTTTGTTTCTCCTCCGATTTTATTGATTCAATGGGTTGAAGATGTCGCTCTGAATTAAATAGAATTATGAAAATGAACTTGAGACAAATTTAAGTAGTGTAATTGGAAAACATACCTTCAGTGTTTCGTTGAGGCATAGGAGCGACAGTCGCCTGCGGACGCCTTTGTTGAACCGGGTGTCCAAATCCAATTCTTGGTACAGTCAACTTACTTCCAGTAGGAATACCACTCGGTTTAGATCTAACAGCTGCTGAGACACTATCACTACTATCTGTCTCAACAACTTCAGTTCTTGGCGCTGTAAACCCTGCCTGTTTTGGAAGGGCTGACTGGATAACCTCTGAGAGGAGATTGACAGAACCTTCCTCTTCTTCTACTTCATTAACTGAACTTGCATCCTCAGTAGAACAGGCATAATCACCTTTCAAAATCGACTGCCTTGGGGATACAGATTTTGAAATTTCTGAAGAAGCTGATGTTGCAGCGCATCCTCTACCATCGCCTTCTGGGTCTGTAATTGATACATCACTGAGTGAACTATTCTTTGTTGAGAAGACAAATGGAGTTCCTTCGACCGCAAACGATTGAATAGTATCTTCAGTGGTAGTAACACCAACAACTACGTCTTCTTCATCATATCTTGCACTATTTGGCTGATTTACAGGCACAGCAGAAGGCATAACAGAGGCGATACATTGTTGAAGAATATTATTATTATCTACAGCTGGCTCAGGACTCCACATTGTGGGAACAGCTACAGCAGACTCCTGATCTTCACTCAGTGAGTTGCTGTCCAGTGGTGATCCTTCTTCAGCAAACATTATCTGTGTTTCCTCTTCACCTTCAAGGTTCTTGGCCTTTGGCTTACCATCACCAATGAGCTCCGGTGGAAGGTCACTAGGACTCGTTCCCAACGCGATGGCTTCATTTGGATCCTCTCCATCATCTTCCAATGCAACAGAGTATACACTCTCTGGAGAGGACTCTATAGGTGGAAGGGGACCAAAGTCGACCGAAGAGAGGCATGAAGACGTTGCACGAGAGAACATTAGCGGAGTCTCGAGCATGCCACCACCATTGGAAGATGTCTCAAACCCAGGGGAAGATACTCTGCTTGAAGCAATCTTATTGGGTGTGGCAGACTTAGATTGAACATCTACGTTGACATAGGGATGCATTGAACGACTCTGGGGTGGGACAAAATTGTCATAAATATCTTGTTTTGGTGGTGATCTGAGATCCAGGGTCGACGCACGAGCAGACGGTCCAAATGGGGTGCCCTCTTCAGCGTACACACAAGCCTGCTCCTCTTCATCAACAGAAACTTGAGCATAAGCAGGAGGTGGTGGTGGAGTAGGGGGTTTTTCTGTTGAGGGTTCAATACTGTGATCGTCATGTGGGGTGGTAGGATATTCCGGAAGTTTGAAATCTGCTTCCTCTTCACCACCAGCTTCAGAGGCCTTTGAGGAGCATTCAGTACTATTTCCTTCCTCCGGAACACTGTCCACTTCATCAGCTCCTTCTTCTTCATCTTCACAATCAGTCGATTCACCTTCAGATTCGTCCTCCTCTTCGAAATCATCATTGGTCTCTAGAACTACAGAGAGCAGACCGAAACGAAGATGAGATCTATTGCTCATTCTTCTACGATAGACTTGTTCTGCAGGTGATGCTGGAGAGGCTGTTCCAGGACTAGAGGTATTACTAGTAACAGGACTGTTGGTTGTCGTAGCTGGGTTAAAAGTAGAAGCATCTGTATTTGCCGGATAAGGGACAACACGTTGATTTTTAAGGAAAAGATTAGCGCGTTCAAGGTTTTCTAGAGCCTGTTTTGAGCTACTGACAACATAACGATGTCTTGAGTGTGCAAGACGATGAAGAATATCAAGAGCTCCCAAACGGATCATTAGAGCTTGATCAGTCGTAGCAGACTCAAATAGGAGGGCAGAACTCGGCCTCGCTTCGCGAAGTGGTGCTGCTGAAAGCGCTCCCAAAACTTCACAGACATTTACTACGACTGTTACACTTGGTGACGTTCTTAATTGCTCCAGGAGAATTGAGATACAATTATGAGTCCTTAGCACAGCTCTAAAATTGTACAAGTATGCCAGTTAGAGTTAGCAAGTGGTGAGTTAAATCGTGCACTAATGATAGCCTCACCGATATTCCAAACTGTTGATAATGACAGGACAGAGATTGCGAAGTACCCCACCGCTATTGGCCTTTATCTCCACATCCTTATTGGGATTCTTGGCATCAAGTGTTGACACCAAAAAGGCAAGAGCCCCATTTACACTAAAGTTAACAAAAATTTTGTTTCAATTAAAAAAATAAACATGTCAAACAACAAAACTCACCGACTGAATAATTTGCACTTCAATATGATAGTAATACCTTTACAGTACTAAAAACTGTAAAACATTGAGTATGTCTAACAACTAGTACTCCTAGAATACCTTTGTGCGATTAAGCACAATATCGTAACAAAAATGAGAAGCAAAACTACCGGGCTTCTGAAACTCGAATTGAATTTCCAATGGAAATTCCAAACACATCACAGAGTTACCAGCATTTTCCAGTCCGTTTTCCTGTGCCAACGACTGAGAGTCAAAGAGCTAGAACAGTCGAGGTGATTTACTGCGACATTTTAATAGTGTGAAATCAATAAACTATTTAGGTCTTAATAGGTCGAGTGCATATGATCAAAGTGTCAGCGATGTTTACTTGCGAAATTCGTTACAGAGGAGCTCATCATCTAAGGCCGCAAATTTCAAATATTCAATGTAATTTACCTGGTGCGAATTCTAATGAGCTCTTATTGTGTTAGTCTACTCATTCTAAATATTCGCATTTGCAATAAGAAAAAAATTATTCCCCGTAAAATGAACATTTGAGTAAACTAGCCACCAATTTTGAGTTAAAAAAAGGGGGTGAAAGTTTACCCGCAGACAGCCTTCCGATTAGCAGTGGAATGCGAGGAGAGGTTCCAAAGAGCGTTGAGAGTTGTTCGAAGGGTGGCTTCACGTTGAGCCGAGAGTACTGCTCGAGTGAGACGGGTAGCCCCTTGTGCACGACGCAGTGCCGCCTTGCTCCTAGCATCAGTGTGCCAACTCAGGTTACGCAAAACGCTCGCTGCAACCTGTCCAATTGCCAAAGCAAATACGGATTTTAATTACCTCAATTTCCAGTACACAGTTGGTAGTAGTGTCAATAACAAGTGCGCATAAATGCAAAACAGAATTAATCAAACGGGATGACATTTGATACTAGATGTCCCACATTTGGATTGGCAAAATATTTGACACTTTTATATGGAGGAAGTATAATAACGAAAGCGCGGCTCCGATTAGTCTAAGACAGTGCATTGAGGAGTGTTCAAAACAAAAGAGGTAATATCGATTTGCCCATATTTCCAAAAAATGAGTTTGGGTGTATATTATAGCCACTCACAATGGGTGTTGTTTATTCAAAAAATTCTAAAGTCCAAAAAATGTATCGATTTAGAGACACCTTCAGAACTTAGAGTTCCTATGAACCTCAAGCGTAGAAGTGAAGGGTGAGTTACATGTCCTGAACGAAGTCACGCAGCCTGAGATATGTACCATCTAAATCAATAAACGAGGTATGTGCGAGGGGTCAAAATTCATCATCTGCTCATTACATATACAAGTTCCATATGTGAGTGAGCAAGTACATAAAAAGATATCATATTGCTCTCTCTCTCTCTCTCTCTCACACATTCAAAGCGAGACAGGCACTTATTAGAAATTCATCACTCAATCACGCAGCTGTTATCGTCTAGGTGGTGGACCACTCAGTAATCTGACAGAGAGCAACCGCGCTATGAAGACAGCACACAGTAAGTTTACCGTGATGTGCGGAGGGTTAACAGTATGGATGTGAATAAATCAAATTCTGGCAATTGCCACACGAATACTCTCAAAATTGGTTGGGGGGTGGGGGTGGGGGGGGGGAAGAGTTAATAGCATTAACTTAAGGTGAATTGCTAAACTCCTAAGGTGACCCGAAATGGGACATAGGAAATTCGACGACCTAGAAAATCGAGGTCACCTTTAAATCTGTCCTTTTAAATAGTTTATGTGAGGAACTTGACCACTTCAGCCTTCTTGGGGTACTGCTTTAAGGTAACGATAGTTCATTTCATCGGCTTGTGGCCACAAAATTAGACTGAAAAAAGGCAGCTAGCAATTGTAGAATCGAGAAAGAGAGAGCGGACGGGAGAGTCGTTTTTTCGTGGAATGTTAAATATTTTATATCAACTTAAATAAAGAATCAACTATTTCTCAAGACATGTAAAACACAGCATTCAAATCATTTATTAAAACAACATAAATTGTAAACAGTTAGAGGAGAAATAAAAACTATCATGTTTACCAGCAAGGATATTTTCGTACTTGCATGCGTAAAAAAAACAAGGAATAATTGCTTATTTTTTCCCCAAATTGAGAAAAAAACAGGAAGAAAAAAACTAGTTTGTGCAAGAAACAGCCCCCCCCCCAAAGGTTGTTTGCCATTAACAAGAACGAGGGCACCTGACTTTATTTAAACACCGTCCAGTACAGAATTCCATTTGAGGGCAACGCATCAGTTCATTCTGAGTTAAAATTAAAAATGTAAATTTCAAGTCGGATACCCGTTTAAATCAAGACTGAATCAACAGCTTCCCTCGAACATTATTCCAACTTGGTGCAATCACTTAACTGTCTAGCACACTCTCTTTGCATAAATTCGTTTAAATTAATTTTATGTTTCCCGTTCTAACTATCCCTGGCGATTCAAATAAACAGCTCTTCCGTCTATTTTTATTCCCTTGTAGAAATAAGTGAAAATCTCACGCAGACAGTTAACCACACCTTCAAAGTGAGGAGTTAAGTTATATTTATTGAAGGAAATACGTATTATATAGGGATATATCATGGCAATAAGAAGGCAAAACCGTCAAAAGTAGCCGACCAACCAGCCAAATTAACAAATAAATTATTAAAAAATGGTTCAATGAAATTCTAAAATTCGGGGAAAGGAAAGCAAGAACTTGAAAAGGGGGGGGGCAACCTCAAACGCATATCAGTTTAAATGTCTCAAATTAACTGAAAAGTGAGTATGCGGCTGGTCTTACAGAAGTTTCAATGGGTTGACACCCTTTGAATCAAAGATAATGCAACATTCAGAAAATTTGACAAGCGGGAACGTTTAGATACAGCGTTTATTACTGAAAGCTATTCACCCATATGGAGTGCATCCATTGAATAAGAAACAGTGCAAAGAAAACACACGTATGTAATTATTCTTCTAGCAAGAATAGCTTCTTTATGAGACTCCTTATTTCTTAGTTAATTTAGAGAAACATAGTAATCAAAAAAGACTTACCTGTTTCAGTTCTTCACTTCCAACTTCCAACTGCGCAATAAGAGCCTCTAGATGGCTCCGTCTCCTGCAGACAAACGCCTTATTAGCAGGTGCGCCGAAAGTCAGATTGGTTAGGGCCACGCATATGTATCTCCTAAGAGCTAGACTGTTTTCAGCCGACGTCATGGGGCCCGAAGTTCCACCAGTGACGGTATCTTCTGCAGCAGTAGCTGCTGACGTGGAAGGCGCTATCTGATGGAGAGGCATTGTCCCCAGACCAGCCCCGGTAGGTGGAGTTGTTGAGTGAACCTGGGGAATTGGACGAGCCCCTGAACTGGATTCATATCCTCGAAGTTGCCACCATGCGTGTTCCCAGCGAAGGAGACTCAAGAGGGCATGGAGGCCACCTATTAACAAATATACATCTTTTATGGGCAAATGTTTCGGCATTCCGGCTTTTGCGACTCTCGACACAATAAGCTCTACTTGGGAAGCAGCGATTTGGACACATCATTAAGTATACCTCTTTAATCCATTCAAATATTCATAATTGGCACACTAAAGAGAAAGTTGATCTATTCGATGTGTGTTATGTAAGCAGTTACTAATATGTTACAAATGCGAGCACGCACACTGCACTGCAAATAGGAAACCCCGCATTTATTTATTTATGCCAAATGGCAGGCTTTATGATGGTTATCATTAGACCTTTAGCTGACTTCCAGTTTCACAGAGGAAAAGAACACCAAAGTGAGAAAAAAATCGAGAGGGAGGAACAGAAGAGCGATTCAAAAACGCAAAAGAGATAGACAGACACAAAGGCAGAGAAAAGATGAGATGAGTACTGTAGAATGGGGCGAATATGACACACAGTGGGGTCATGATAGTTTGAAGTGAGGAGCCAACTGCCAGATGATAGACATCTTTTGTCGTATAAGTATACGTTGCCCAGGGTGCACCACATTGGGAATAGGTCAATCACACACCCCATGAAACCTCTCATAAAGCGTAACATTCAAATGCGACAATAGAAAAATAGTCCATTAGTGGTAGTTCGATATTCCAATAAAGGAACCACTTTAAATCTTAAGAGTAGGCCAGGAAAGACCATTCACTAGCCGTTTATCTAATGGTTAAGAGCTTGATTTAAAGACTACAAAATGAATGAAAAAAGTGGAAGATAGAAATTCAATTTAAACAAAAAAAACGTTACTCTAAAAAATATTAGAGAACACAAAATTGGCAAGAGAAATAAATGCACAGCTGCCCTTAATGTACGTGTCACGTAGCAAATATCTGGGGGTAGAGAAAAAGGCGAATTAAGCAATGTGTCCATTTATACAAAAGGCCGTACTTGAGATCTGACTCCAATACTGATAATGACAAGCTACATCAACGTGATGTTTGCTGAAGCAGGGGCTGGGAGAATCATTAGGGAAATTTTGGCCTAATTAGCAGCTCCAGCTGCGGTCCGAGTCCCCTATTACTTAGGCAATTAATTGCCTGAAATGTTGAAAACACTCCTCTGGAGCTTAGTGCCCCAAGGTTGCCAATTTCCAAATCCAATTCAATGCCGATTCATCTGATTATAAAGAATACAAGAAGATTGGGCGGTGAAGTCCATTGATAAAGTAAGACCGGTTCAGATCTTAATACCAAAAATATAGGGATGTAGGTAGAAAAATCTCAGAGAACTTAATTCTAAGCAGTTGAGACAGGCAATAATAATAATCTCCTTTACGAATTGGCCCTCCATATTACCCAAAGATCGCATTGAAGTAAATCGAAGAGGTAAATAAATCAATAACACATCAACCATCATCTATTACTTCCAATGGCACTTCTGCGACTTCTAACTAAAAGGCCATTTTTTGTACTAAAAAGGACGAATCTCGCATGCTCTGTGGAGCCTTCAGTTCCATGCATTTCAGCACGACTTATTTCCGAAATCTGTCACGTCCAAACCGCAAACATTCCCGACATCGTATCACATTAATCATCATACAGATCAAATATGTTGCCTAGAGAGAAAACACGAAATCTGTTGCATTTTTGCTTCCCCCAGAACACCTAAGTCATTGTCCATCACTACCAAGTCTCTAAAGAATCTTAGCCAATATAAGCGCATTCGAAAGAAATCGATGGTCGTTAACCAACAGAAGCAATCCGCATCGATGAATTATGATAAAATGGATGGCAATTGCAAGTACCCCGAGGCAATCGCAAATGGAAGTATCAAAAGTGGTTAAACAAAATACGGGATAGGCTAAACAAAACGCTACACGCATTTCTCTTGAGTATCCCCTTATATATTCTCAAAGGAACAACCTTTATTGGTCTCAAATTTATCTGATCCCTTCTAACACATCTCATACTACCTGATGATGGTGGATTTATATTCACTGGTTAGAGGCAGTACTCTTTAAATCTGTAACAACCGAGATCATCGTTAATAACCTCGAATAGGTATTTGCAAATACCTTGTGTTATTGTGTTCAGAAATTTTACCCAATTCACTACTACTACTACTACTACTACTATTTGAGTTGAAGATTTTTAATGCATTTTAGGTATCTCCCTTTCATACTCTCTGTCAAATTTCAGCCGGTTAGGATTAGTAACTCGTGGACAATGAAGAAAGGCAACTTTTCCTGTTCTAAGAGGAGGACATAGCGGAAGAGATACTTTATTCTTTACATTGTAGGTACCAGACAACGCCTAATGTTGGTGACAAATCATGGAGTGTAAACACAAACATTTCTCTTCTCGAAACGCAACCGTACCTTCCGGGCTGAAAAAATATTCCAAATGAGTTTAACTTGACCGCAAGTGATCTCCATTCGTATTGGAATCCTCATTTCTGAGAAATTAGTCTAATTATCGGCCTGATCGCTACTTCAAAAGACCTTGAGATATGCGTTCGTGGTGGATTCAATGCTCAAATCTATGGAGAAATAACGCTTGCGAGGAAAAGCGCCACACATCATTTTCAGAATAAAGCATAACTTTAAGGTGTCTATGCATCTCCATGAATCCTGAAGTTTGGGGCTACTTTCGGAGGCAAATGTAAATGAAAGTGAACGTATTTTTTTCCACTCCTAGAGAAAATAAAAATGAATAAAATTGCTTACTGGAAAGGAGTGTTATTTGAAAAAAGAAACGCAAATATTTAATAACTAATAACCAGAGGAATAGTCAAACATGATAAATAAAAGGGACATTGTTTACTTATTCAACAATAAAGATAAAAAATGCAGAAAAGTCCAAAAAAACCCACCGAGATCGCAAATGGCCTGGCGGTGGTTAGGATGGAAGGAGAGTCGAACAAGAGAAGCGACCTCGGGAACAGGAACGTGTGTGGGAGCAACGCGTTGTCCATCATCAGGGGACAAGCGTCCTTCAGAGACTGCGTTGCGCGCAGCCATTACACGTTCACTCTGAGTCATTGTATAAATCTGAATACGAGCCAGAAGCTGAGCGATGTCGAGATCACGACGTCTTAATGCTGGATCAAGTTGATAGGCGGATACGAGATTCACAAGAGCCTGAATGAATATAATATTTCACTTAGGGGATGTGCGATAGACTTACCTCCACGTGGTGTACCCTGGGCA